GGAAGACCTTGCCGGTGCTGCCACGTGGCCTTGGGACAAGGAAGCCATCAGTCACCTGGGTAAGTGAAGTGAAGACCAAATATGGTAGACAAATGGAGCAGGCCCCAAATGATTATGTGACATGAGTTTGAGGAAAAAAGAAAGAAAGAGAAAAATAAATTTACTCAATGAATTAGCTGCATTGGAGTGAGAATGGCTTTTGGAAGAATCTGTCAAATGTTTCAATATAGACAAGAAGGAGGTATTACAATGGCAAAGACTCAGGATGTTCTAGACAAATATATGATTTAGTTGTAAATAAATTGCTGATGTGTAATGAGATCTATTTTATGTCTTGGAGAGCCTCAAGGGGAAAATTAGTAAAGAAGATGGGTAGACTTTGAAACCCGGTTTATGGTAATCAATGTGACAGAAGACCTGTGGGCTTCATACATGGCTCCTCAGGATCCATGATCCAGGATTGGGCTCCTGAGGAAATCCTGGAGCATTCAGGCAGGTGGGGCTTGCCTCCTTACCTAGGAAAAGGGTGATACCTTATACTGAGTGGAACCTCTACATTCCTAAGAAAGAAAATTTCTTTAATAATGTGTTATTGCTATTGTTAACCACTAAGTCATTAAGTCAGTTAATGTGGATAAGAGTAATTATTCAATATAATTTATATGTACTTTCAAAGAGTCTTGAATAGGATTCTACCAAAATGTATTTTAAAACTGAACTAGCATAATAGGGAGGAATCTTCTTGTTGGAAAGAGTGATTATAGAGATTAGAAATCACTTTATAAGTGATTTTTTTAAAGGTTATGCAAAGTGAATCTTCTTAGTAATCAAATATGAAGCAGAGAGATATAAATTGAAGGAAGATCACATAATGCTATATATGTCAAATCCATGTATAATGAGGTCATTGTGAAGTGGATTCCAGAACATGTTTAATTGATAATTAAAGATAATATGAGCAAGTCTCCGAAGGACAACTAGTATCATGGATTGGGGAAGAAGGAAGATGAGCAGTAGGTTAGCAATAGGTGAAAAAATATTATTGCTGTTCAGGAGGAACCCAGAGTTTGAAAATCTCTGGAATGAATCAGGTCAACATTTAGAATGGCTGCATATCCCAAGTAAAGGAGGACACAATAAAAAAATTAAACATGTGGTGATCCAAATGAATGCTTTGCTAGTATGCTGGGTTACAATGACTCTACAGCATCTGATACAGTTTTAAGGCTCTGAAGCCCTTTTATCACTTAATTTTGTATTTTCAGCTTAGAGTACATGACAAATCAGAAATTTGTGAGGTTAGTGTTGCTTTCTAGATGAAAGCAAATGTGTTATTTCAGCCTTCCTGGTAGGCTAGAAGAATAAACCATTTAATAGTGAGTTTGAGTGTCTTGACTTATCCTCCTCAAAAGCAATGGTAGCAGAGGAGCATGTAACACTGTAGACAAGTTTCCCCAATTAGTGCATATCTGATTTGCCAATGGTAACATTTTTTGGTGTATATATGAAGGGGTTCTGACAGCAAGGTTTACCCTGCTATGGTTTTCATAAGTCCCAGGTCTATCACTGGGAACTGAATCTGTGTTTGAAAACCTTTAGAAATGATCTATCTGCCTGGCCATTATGAAGACAAGTCTTGGCCTTCGGTGAGAACCACTGGGGTGAGAGCAGACCACTGAATGTTTTCTAACTTTGTTGGAACTGGGCCATTGATAAGATTCATTTAACTATAAAAATGGATAAAAATACCAAGGGTGGGGGGAAGCTATTTGAAGACATCAGACAGTAGCTAAGACAACAAGGATTTGAGGGCCCAATGTCAGTGAGAAGAAAAATGCACTGAAGTGAGTTCTATGTATAACTCTGTTGTTTTTTTCCATTCAGGGAAATTGCCAAATTCTCAGTGAAAAGAATAGACGCAGAGCAGAGAGCAGTCTAAAGTCTGCTGAAGTCTCACTACTAGGGAGACAAAAATTAAAGGTCAGGCCATTCAAGTCATCCAAGACTCCCATAGAAATAGAAATCCCCAAAAAAGCCTGATATTATGCTCATAATTTTCTTTTAAGATATTTGCTAACTACTAACCCATGCATTCTCAGGGACAGCAGCCAAGAAAACAAGTATAAAATAACTTCTAAGAGATTAAAAAGTCAAACAATGGTTTCAGAAGTCTCATAGTAGAGGGAAGAAAAAGTTGGAATTGAGGCCTATCACGGAGGAGGGGCCGTGAGACCCTTTTGTGTGACAGCAAACAGAGATAGTCCAGATTACACAAAGCCTGAAATCCAGCCTGAAACACTCTTAAATCCCTTTGTGAAAGAAAGTCAGTGGCCTATATTTAACTGCCTAACGAAAGAAAATTGGATATTTTCTTCCTTCCTCTGGATGAAGAAAGCATCATGAAGAGCCTCTGCAAGTTGTCATGCACAATGTCCAGCAACCAGTCAAAAATTATCAGTTATGTCAAAAAGCAGGGCCAAATTATGGTAACTTAGCTAAACAAAGAAGAAAGCAATCATTAATAAATACAAACTCACAGATTGACCATATATTGGAGTCATAGGATATTGGTTTTAAGATAATTATGATTAATATGCTAGAAAATGTATATTAAAAATGAAGAATATCTCCTGAGAACTGGAATTTGTAATAAGGTATTAAATGGAAATTTTGGAACAAAAAATACAGACTGAGATTAGGAAATTAATAGATAAGTTTATGAGCAGGAGAAAGAATTAAGGGGCTAGAAAATTATAGAAAACATTTGTATTGAAGCTCAGAGAGAAAAAGTGTTGGAAAAATATAGAAAATAACTTGAGACTTTTGAGACCTGATGAAAATTTCCTAATGTAAATCAGATTTCTTTTTTTTTAAGATATTTTTTATTTATTTGACACAGAGAGAGAGAGAGAGAGAGAGAGAGAGAGAAAGGGGTTACAAATAGTCAGAGAGGCAGGCAGAGAGAGAGGAGGAAGCAGGCTCCCTGCTGAGCGGAGAGCCTGATGCGGGGCCCGATCCCAGGACCCTGGGATCATGACCTGAGCTGAAGGCAGAGGCTTTAACCCACTGAGCCACCCAGGTGTCCCCCTAATGTAAATCAGAGTTCTATAAGAAGATGGGAAAGATATTAGGGCAGAAGAAATATCAAGGAGATAATGGCTGTGACTTGTAAAGTAATAGAAAATATGAAACAACAGATTCAAAATGTTTTACAAACCCCAGGAAGGATAAAATAGAAAGAAAGTCACAAACTAGGTCTATTATAGCAATAAAATAATACTGAAGGAAGTTATGCAAGCAAAAAGGAAATGGGAAGATGAGAAGTAGAGACATGCAAAAGGAAATGAATGATACTAGGAAGGATAAAAATATTAAAAGTCATAACAATAATGTCTTTTCGGTTTAAGATATATGTAGAATTAAAATTTGACAACAATTGTATAAAAAGCAGAAGAGAAAGTAAGTGAAGTTAAAGAATTCAAGGTCCTTTCCTTTCCTATATCTAGAAAAAGTGCTGATTTTAGTAATTTGAGACAGTAATAAGTCAAAAACACATGTTGTAGTCTTTAGGGTGACCATTAAACAATAAATGATCTTTTGTAAGCCTACAGAGCAGGAAATGAAATGATCCAGTTAAGGCAACAAAAGGAAAGAAAATAGGAATAAATAACAGAACAAATGGAAACAAAAACTAAGATACTGATTATGATCTAAAGTATTAATTCCATTAAAAGCAAATGGACTAAACATACCACTTTAAAGCCAAAAATTATCAGACTGAAAAAAAACCCAACCATATGGTGCTTGTAAGAGACACATCTTAAATATGAGAAAAAAACTGAAATTATAAGAATCAGAAGATGTATATATATATATATATATATATGTGTATATATATATATTATACAATGAAAATACTAGTCCAAAGAAGTCAGTGTAGCTTTCTTATATCAGATAAAGCAAACTTTAAGATAGTACATATTATGAGAGATAAATAGGCATATTTTATAATATAAAATATGGAAAATGTAACTGTGATAAATTTTATGCACCAATTAACATGCCCTAAAATATGTAAAGCAAAATTTGACAAAAATAAAAAGAAGACAGAAAAATCCACAATTATATTTGTTATTTTAAAAACTATTTTCTCAGAAAATAACTAAGCAAATATCTAATAGAGATCTAAAATATTTGAAAAATATTTAACATGACTTAATTAACAAGATTAATATAGCATACTTAAACAGCAAAGAATGTGCCTTATTCTCATGTACCATGGAAAATTTACTGAGAGTTCTGGGCCAAAAAGTGAACTACAAAGCTTGTAATCATGAAGTCTTTGCTTTCTCATATCATTCGAAATAAGGTAGAAGTCAATAACAACAAAAACAACAAAAAAAAAACCCCTAGGAAATCCACAAATATTTGGAAACTATGCTATACACTTCTAATTACCTCATGGCTCAAGGAATAAATTGCAATGGAAATAGGAACATATTTTTAAGTGAAATGATTATGACAATAGGGCCTATCAAAATTTATGGTATATACAAGAGGCTGTAAGTAGAGTGAAATCTATAGTTTTGTATATTAGAAAAGGAGATGTCTGAGCTAGGTATCCATCCCAAGAAACCAGCAAGGAATAACATATTAAATCAACAAAATGGTGACAAAAGGAAGTAATAAAAGTAAGAGAAGAAATAAAATAGAAAATAAACATTAATTAGAAAAAAGTTAACAGAGTTAAATTTTGGAGGGGGGGGCAAAGAAAAACTGATCAAGAAATGAAAATGAGAAAGAGTGTATAGCCACTATGAGAAATGAAAGGAATAATATTTTTATATATACTGTAGACATTAATAGCCGAAAGTATTTTCAGCAAATGGTGTTATAGCAATTGGACGTCCATAAGCAAAAGAAAATGAATTTCAATATGAGTCTTGTACCTTGTAAAAAAATTAACATAAATCAGAGATTTAAATATAAAAATAAGCTCAATTCTCTCTTTGGCAGCACATATGCTAAAATTGGAATGATACAGAGAAGAGTAGCATGGCCCCTGTGCAAAGATGACACAAAAATTTGTGACGCATTCCATATTTTTACAAAGTAAATAAGATGGCCAAAAGTAGTGATAAATAGAGAGAGAATTTTACATCAGGGAGGGTATGTGCTATGGTGAATGCTGTGAAGTGTGTAAACCTGGCGATTCACAGACCTGTACCCCTGGGGATAAAAATACATTATATGTTTATAAAAAATTAAAAAATTTAATTAAAAAAAAAAGAGAGAGAATATTGAAAGCATTAAGAGAAAGGAAATCAGTTACATACAAGGGAAACCCCATAGGGCTATCAGGGGATTTTTCAGCAGAGAGTGGCATGATATATTCAAAGTGCTAAAAGGAAAAAACCTGCAGCCAAGAATACTCTATCTAGCAAGGCTTTTATTCAGAATAGAAGATGAGGTCAAGTTCCCCAGAGAAACAAAAGTTAAAGGAATTCATGACAGGAACAAAAACAGTCAAATCCCCATCACACAAAATGTCATCAGCCTATGGATTCCAAATCCACAGTCTAGCCACCCTCCTGCCCAAGTCAGCATGCATGGCCTGCTACCTGCTCAATGCCAAGTCAACATGCCTTCACCTCAGATTGACAAGGACTCAAACTGTCACTATTCCACTCATATTCCAGCCCCTGTGCTCAAGTTTGTGCACAAAAGTGGGCATAACTTTGACAGGAGAATGAAGCAACCCAAAATAGTAGCACTAATTCTGTGAAATATATAATGGATAAAAGGAGTGTGCTAGACTGAGAACATCTCCAACAGCCACATCAAAGAACAATACATACAGCATGAGGCTAATTACTAAAAGAAACAAGCCCAAGAAAAATGAAACAGGACAAAATCAGAGAAGGAGACAAACCATAAGAGACTGTAAATCATAGGAAACAAACTGAGAGTTGCTGGAGGGGAGGGGCATGGGGCGTGGGGTAACTGGGTTATGGACAATAAGTAGGACCCATGATGTAATGACCACTGGATGTTATATAAGGCTGATGAATCACTGAACGCTACTGAAATTAGTAATACATTATATGTTAATTATTGAATTTAAATTTAAAAAAGACCCCCCCCGCAAATACACCTATAGAACTTTAAAAAGAAAACACAAGAGAAAATCTTAAGGGCAGACCTAGATGAAGAGTGCTTATATATGACACTCATAGCATAGTTCATAAAAATAAAAACTTACAAATTGGACTTAACCAAAATTTAAAACATTTTCTCTGAGAAACACTTTGTTAAGATGAACAAAGAAGTGGCAGACCTGGAGGAAATATTTGCAGACCACACATCTCCTAAAGGATCTGTATCTGGAATCTATAAAGAATTTTAAAATTCAATAGTTAGACAAATATTCCAGTTAGAAAATGGGCAAAGACACGAACAGACATCTTACCAAAGAAAATATTCACATGAAAAGATGTTCAGTATCACTAGCCATTAGGGAAATGCAAATTAAAATGACCATGAGGTATTACAACACACTTTTTAGAAGAGCTAAAATAAAAATAAATAAATAAAAAGATTAAAAAAAACCCCACAACAATGATGATACTAAATGGTGGTAGGGAAGCAGAGAAACCAGATCTGTCATACATTGGTCTTGGGAAAGTAAAATAGCACAGCCACTCTGGACAATACTTGGGCAGTTTCTTATAAAACTTAGCCTACACTTACCTGATGATCCAGGAACTGGATTTTTGGATGTTTATCCCCAAGGTCCATTCAAAAACCTGTATGTCAGTTTTCATAGCAGCTTTTTATTTGTAAGAGCCTAAGAACTAAAAATGACAGAGGTGTCCTTCCATGCTAGCTGCTTAACCAAACTGTGCTACATCCATACAATGGAATTCTACCCAGAACTAAAAAGGAACAAAGTATGAATGCATATGACAACTTAGAATCTCAAGGGTATTATGCTGGGAAACAAAAAAAAAAACAAACTCACAAGTTACACACTGTATGATTTATGTAGGATTCTCAATGAGGTAATTATAAAGAACAACCGAGTGGTTGCCGGGGTCAGGATTGGGGTGTGAGGGGAGAGATATAGTATGGCTGTGATATGGAGGATAGCAAGAAAGAGATCTTAATGGTGATGAAACAGCTCAGTATCTTGATTGAGGCAGTAGTTACATAAAGGTCTGCATGTGATAAAATTATGTAGAACTGCAACACACACACACACACGAGTGTGTGTAGAAACTAGTGAAATCTGAGTAAGAACTGTGACCTTTATGCATAAGCAGAATACTTCACATCTGGTAGGTGTTCTGCAAATACCGAATGAAGGGATGAATGAATAAATGAGTGAAGGTATTAAATGTAAATGGTTTCAAGAAATGTTTAAATTATCTCATGAGTCACTGACTCATAATGAATTGCAAAAGAGAATAGGTATATTTCTATTTTATTCTTAAACCTCTTAGGAATAACTGTTCTCCCATAAAATGTTCCTTAATGTGCTTTTCAAAAGCAGCAGGCTAGACTGAAAAGTTGAAAGATCTGGCTCACTATGAAATTGCTTGTGATCTTATTTATTTCTTCCTGTTCAGTCATAACTGTGATGGAACAAGGGAACCATATTGACCTAAATCAGGTGTAGAGTAGTACAGACAGCTGGCATAACATGATAGAGGAAGACATTTAGGATTTTCTAAATAGAGTCTTTTTAAGACTCAAGCTTAAGATTATCTATTTGTGTCAACATTCAAGAACCCCTGCATTTTGAGGGTCAGCTGAGTGACCCAGCAGGTAAGTATACCAGCCTGAATGTTTGAAGATTGAATCCAATTTCCGACTACCAATGGCCTAAGTGAGTACATGGAAAGAAGGATGTAATTCATGGTTGTGCTTTTCCATCCACACCATTTCTGACTTTTAGCATGACTTTGTACTTTTAATACCATGGTAATGCGAGGTAGAATTTTTTAAATAAGTAAATGAATGAATGAGCTCCCCTTGAGCTCTAAGGTTCGGTAGTTTGAACATCTTTAGCCTTAGTCCACAACACTTAAGCTGAAAATATATCTTTAAAGGCAGAAGACTTAAATTTGTGGTAAACCAGCTTTTTCCCAAGCTATCAATACCATACTCATAATCATTCATTCAGAGAATGGTGGTTGAATCTGTTTGTGGCAGTAATGGAGATACAATAATAAAATGAGATCACCCTAAAGGTTTGTACAACATAACTGCGAGGCAGCCATGTAGATATATATTTCCACACTGTGTGATGATACTGCTTTGAGGTAGGTAGGAGCATGAAGAGAAAGTGCCTAATTGTGTTCAAAGCATCAGGGAAGAATTCCCAGAGGGTCAGAGGCTGGAGAGTTGAAAGATAAGCAGGAGTTGGCTTGGCAGACAATTAAACAGCATTCCAGATGGAAAGAACTGATAGATGCCAGGGTTCAGGCTGTTAAAAACCTGGGTATGCTTAGAAGTAGAATGTACTTGGAATGGCCAGTGCAGTGCTTTCCAAACTTATTTTTGCCCTCTTATACGCCCTAAAACACTTGAAAAACTCTGAACCCCTTCATATGTTCAAAGAGCAACATCGAAAACTGTGGCAGAGAATATATTTCTGGCCATATTATTTTAAATTATCAAAAATTAAAGATAAATTTTAAATCTACTCTCCTAAATGAATTTTCAGCAACATAATGATTTGTTAATCGTCATTATTGAAAAATTCATGCCGTGCACTTTTTTTTTTTAACATTGGGAAATTATTCATTGCAATTTTTACTGTTTGACTTTGTGTTTCCATTCCATTTCTCCTGTAGAACTTTATAGTAATGTAACATATGCATATTTTAAAATAAATTTAGTCATCCTTTTCTTTGTTTAAAACATATTTTAAATAAAACAACTCTTTTGTGATCATTTTTAATTAAACTTTTTATTTTGACATAATTGTATATCCACATGTAGTTCTAAGACACAGTACATAAAAATCCTACATATCCTTTACCCGTTGTCTTCCAATGGCAACATCAGCAAAAAATGGTATGATATCAACATCGGGGTATTAACATTGATACTGATCATAAGTTATAAATTGCTAAAAGATTCATTCACACACAAAATGAGGAATGCATATTTTAATAAGTGTGGCTTTTTTCCCCAAATTAATTCTTGTCTCGGTGGATGAATGTAATTATTGCTACATTGAAACAAGATTTAGCACCAGTTATATTGCTTTTCTTTTTTCCTTCCATAGCTCTGCGTGCTGAGAAATTTGTTCTCATAAATAAGTTTATGGGAAAAAATGGAGTTCTGTTTGATTGACTGAATTGATGGTGGTGCCAAGGTAGAAGGTACAGGAAAAGGAGAAGCAAATGGGGAGCTCGTTTGGTTTAGATATGTTGAGTTTGGGGTCTCTATATCTATCTGACTATCCAGGGATTTTCACAGAAGCAGGAGAAGGAGCAAGATTCAAGTGTATACCAGAAACCTAAGGAGAGAGAAGTTTGAGAAAGTCCCCAGTGGCCCACAAATCCAGCTGCTGCAGAGAGATGAAGTCAGTACAAGTCCTTTTGGCTAGGTTAGAGAGGAAAGTCTGTCAAGGTGGGCAAAAAATTTAGAAACTTCAGAGTTTTCTGGGCCAATCAGCTTTCTACTTGTTCTAGGGAACATCTGTACTGCCAAAGAACACTCAGAGATCGCGACTGGATCATTAGCAACATACCCCAATGTCCAGGAGAACCAAGAACTGTATGTGAGGGAACTTTAACCTAGCTCATAATGGGGATTTAAACAAGTGGTCCAGATAATGTGACCATTATAGGAAAAAAAGTCTTTGAGTGATAGAGTGGGTTAGGGCTTCCCTTGGATAAGAACAAATGGAAACCTGAGCAAATCACCTCTCTGAGCCTTATTCTCCCATATATAAAATGAGGATAATAAGCACAAGGAAGAGAACCAGCACATAGGAGGGCCTCATAATTATAGCTCCATTAGTAGCAGCAGCAAAAGCAGTAGAAGCTCCAAATACCATGAGTCTGTAGTTAACCTTCTCGGTTGTGCCCTCAG